CAGTGGCAGTGAGTTTGTGCGGAGAGGAGGGCTTGCTCAGGAATAAGAAGGACTAGAGAGCTGCACGTGCTCCCTCGTGCTGGGCTAAGACTTTATTCTTAGGACGCAGCGTGGACGCAGCTCAAGCTGGCACTGCCTTCGGACTTGGTTTTATTTAGAAACAGTTTTTCCATTGGCTTGGAGAAACACAGAATGCTAGGGAGTTGGGTATGTGATTCATGCACCTTTTAAAACAAAATTAAATAAAGCAATTATAGTAAGGGTGGGTGTTTTTTAACTGAAATGCTTATCAGCGCCATGGTGGTTATGAGCTGGGCTACTAATCACGTTTGTTTAGCAGTTTAAACCACCAGCCAGCTCCTCAAGAGAAAGATGAGGCTTTCTCCTCCCGTAAAGAGTTACACTCTTGGAAACACTCAGGGATGCGGAGGCCGTGAGTGTATTGTGGATATTTGGGCAGGACCTGAACCCCCTAGTGATCGGGAGCTCACTTGCTGTGTGTAGCTCTTTCCTGTTTGGCTCCCCTTCTTCTCAGAGCCTTTGGAGCCCGGTCTCTTCCTGTTGGCTCTGTTCTCTGAGCCTGTCGTGGGGTGTCTTAGAAATTAAATGTGTAGGATGGCAAGTAGGCGTTCACCCCAAAGGAATGTTATCTGCATGCTAAACTGTTTGTTCAAACCCACCTGCGTGGTGCAAATGGTAAATGTGCTCAGCTGCTGCCCCAAGGGTTGGTGGTTAAAATCTACCCAGAGGTACCTCTGAAGAAAGGTTTGGGAGGGGAGCCAGCCCCTAACAAACCATCACAGGTCCAGCAGGCGCAATTGTACAGCGATAATAAGTAAAGATTATATATAGTAAAGTCATAGAGACTATGAGAAATACAGGAGAGATCGAAATAATGGAATCTGACACATTTCATGGTAGCATGCTCACCTCCTGGATGGCCATGATCTCAACAGCCAGGTCCGCACACAGCACTGGCCAAGAGGGCTGGGGAGAGAGCATGAGAGAGGGGGAGGGGAAGGAGGACAAGGGGAAGAGGGAACAGGGGAGCAAGGATGGGTGAGAGAGGACTGGGAGCGAGAGCTCTTTATTGCTGTCCAAGGCTTTTATATCTTTGTGGGGCTTGCAAGCCCCCTAATTCCAGGTAAAGACATACATCACAGGAAGGGGTTGTACCATAGGTAATACAGTAATAGGAAGAGGGTGATCAAGGGGTATACATGCAATAGGAAGGGGAGGGATTGGGGCATACATGTGACTAGATGGGTGGATCCTAGATTCAGGATGACAGCTTAACTTTGGATGTCACTGAGCAGGTTCTCCATGGAAACAATTACTATCCTTATCAGTAGGGTGTGAGCCCCACCTATAGTGGACCAGATGCTTTCAGGGAGAATATCTCTAAGCATCTGACCTCCCACCATGTGCTGCTGGCAGATAGCCTGTAATGTTTGGCATATCTTTGGGGAAGACAAAGCTGGGGAAAGTCTTTTAATATCCCACAGAGGTCCGCTTCTGAAAAATCAGTCCTTGAAAACCCTGGGGAGCACAGTGCTGTCAGAAAGGACGTGGTGACCGCCAGTTTGGGACAGATATGACAGGGATATGTTCTATAACATTTTGCTATATGCTAGCCGGGATTGGGCGGAGATTTTGAAAAGATGTGAATTCACTCAGGTTGGCCCGGGTGCAGGAGAAGGTACTGTGCCTTCAGAGGGAGGTTGACAGAAAATGATGGAGGCACCGGGAGGTTTGGGAGACGTAGAGGCAACAGAGGCAAATACTGTTACACCTACCGTCCTATGGGAGTGGTGCAGATAGGCTAAACATTGAGCAGGTCCGGGGTGGCAGGCAGAGAGGGAAGACACCACGGATGCATATATATATTCCATGGATATTTGTGTATGTCTTTTTTACCATTGCTGCAAATATATTCCTGAATGTGGTTGCACACACAAGGGACAACGTTATGAAAACTTTTTAGATATTACCAAATACCTTCAAGGAATGAGTTTGTGGACCTGGGAGCCCAGGACCACAGTCTAAGGCAGTGGTTCTCAACCTGTGGGTTGTGGCCCTTTTGAGGGTTGAATGACCCTTTCACAGGGTCTCCCAGTTCATAACAGTAGCAAACTTACAGTTATGAAGTAGCAATAAAAGTAAGTTTATGGTTGGGGGGCAGGGTCACCACAACATGAGGAACCGTATAAAGGGTCATGGCATTAGGAAGGTTGAGAACCACTGGTCCAAGGGAACACCAAGTGACAGGCTACTAATTTCACCTTTTAATGACTGAATTTCTACTTGGAGATGTTGTTGTGGTTGTTGTTAATTAAACCAAACTCTCGCTGCCATCGAGCTGATTCTGACTCTTAGTGACCTTACAGGACAGGGTAGAACTGCCTCTGTGGGTTTCTGAGACTGTCGCTGTTCATGAGAATAGAAAGCCTCCTCTTTCTCCCATGGAGTGGCTGGTGGTTTTGAACTGCTGACCTTGAGGTTTGCAGCCCAATGCATAACCACTACACCACCAGGGGCTCTTTTGTTAAAGAAAAACATGCTGAACTAAAGGAAGCAAGATTTTGAGGCAATATAGACTTTGATACAATTGAGTGGTGGGCTGAGCCCTGCTTCTTTTGATTCCTGCAGCTACACGGGTTTCTGTGTTGCTGTCAGCGTGTACTCTAAGTGGAAGAGCAGCTTTCCCCCCAAAACTGAGAGGCTGAAAATACTGGTGGGTGATATATGTCCCACAGGTTATGAAAAGGCATGATGCTTATGCTTTGGAAATGCCTATCACAGTTTACTCTGTGTTGGGCCAATCCTGAGTCTTTTGGAAGTATTTCTTGATTGAGTAAATGAGTGGAAATCTGTTCATCTGGAATAGCAGTTAGAGAACTGGTTGAGGCAGCTTGGAGTTTCAATGGAATGTCGCAGGAGGCGGTAGAGGGAGAAAATCAGGAAGAGGGAACTTCTTGGGTGGAGCAATGGTGAGGATGAGGCTTTGTGGCAGAGGGGTTGCAGTAGGGTTTGTTTGGGGGCAGAGTGACTTTTAGGGCAGTGCTTCGCAAACTTCCAACAATCACAAGGAAAGAGCAGGTGCAGTTGTTAGCTTGCTTTGTTTTCTTCAATATCTATTCTCTTGAGTACCGATGTGGTTCTGACCCATAGCGACAACAGAAGGAAACACTGCTCGGTCCAGCGCCATCCTCACAACTGTTTGCATGTTTGAGCCCACCGATGCAGCTTCGGTGTCAGCCTATCTTGTTGAAGGTCTTCCTGGTTCTCACTGCCTCTCTGCTTTCCCAAGCGTGATGCCCGGCTCCAGAGACTGGTCTCTCCTGACAACACGTCCGAAGGATGCGAGATGAATCTCTCCATTCTTGCTTCCAGGGAGCCTTCTGGCTGTTCTTCTGAGGCAGATTGGTTTGTTCTTCTGGCGGTGCATGGTACTTTCCACCTTCTTCGCCAGCACCCTGGTTCAGATGAATCGATTCTTCTCCCAGCTTCTTTCTTCAATGTCCAGCTTGTCTCATGAAAGTACCATGACTTGTATCAGGTGCACCTTGTTCCTCAAAGTAACGTCCTTGCTCTTCAACCCCTTCAAAGAGGCCTAAAGACATGCAGCGTTTTGACTTAATGCAATGTGCCATTTGATCTCTTGGCAGCTGCTCCCCTAAGCACTGACTGTGGATCCAAGCAAGATGACGCTTTTGCAAAATGCAATGATTAATTGTCAGACAAATAATCGGGAGGGATAAAGGTGCCTAAAGGTTTACTTTTGTTTGCTTGTTTCTTTGAAACTAGCTCGTGTGTCACACAAAAAATTGAAGTCAGTTACTATATTATGGTTCCTGCTTTTATAACCTCTCAGACCAGTGTTTAGATCTTATGGGTAAGAAAAGTGGATGCTTTTTTTTTTGGTTTTGGTTGTTTTTTTTTTTGTGGTTTAAACATTCTTTTTTTAGTTTAAATTTTATTTTAGAAGTTATTTTCCTTTTGTGGAGTATAATACAAAGAAAAACATCTGGACAGTGACAGTATGCCAGTCAAACTCCCCACCCCCTATCCCCTGTGGCTCTTTCTTCCTCTTTTTGTTCTCCCACCCTCCCTCCTCCTTCCCTCCTCTCCCATCTCTCCCTTCTTCTCCGAATCCCTCCCCACTGCCCTTGGCCTTCTTACCGCCTTTTCCTTAGTCATGACATATTTCTTTACGAGTTCGACCAGTTTTGTTGAGCGTAGCGTCTTCCAGGTTTGTCTGTCATGAAGTGTTCGGCGATCTCATCATGATTTTAAAAAGATGAATGATATTCTATGTGTGTATGTAGCAGAGTTTCCTTATCTGTTTCGCCAAAGAGGGTTTCTTTGTTGTTGTTGTGGAGGAGGTTGTTGTGCTACTATAGAAATTTCTGTGAGAAACATAGGTGGCATATACTGGATATACTCTAGTGGAAGTCGACCCGAATATCAGCCGAGGCACCTAATTTTACCACAGAAACTGCATTAAAAAAGTTCTGAAGAACTCGGCTTATACATGAGTATATACGGTATCTGTTCATGTCTTATTCTTTAATTTGGGGGGGTATATATCGAGTAAAGAGATTTCAGTATCGTATGGTATCTCACTTCCTGTGTCTGTACACTTTTTGTCACCGACCACCTCACTGAGCAGCACTGGGTCACGGATCACTGTCATTCCCTTGGTTTGCATCGACGATTAGTTTTTTAAGACTTTTAGGCTGACTAAATATTTGATAGAAACAGATGAAAAACAGCGGTAGCTGAGCACATTTTGGTTAGTGTCGCATAAGAGCTCACCTTGTACTTCTCTGTTTGGAACGGCATGCTCTGTGTTGGGTTTCTGTGAGTGACACAGCACTTCCTGAGCGTCTCCCCATCTGCTATTGTTTGAGTTGGTCGAATTTTACAACAGATTTCTAAGAGACCAGAACTGGCCTGTAGGCCCTCCTGCCTATCCTGCCCTGATCTTGCTTTCACAGTCACCGGGGTTGAAGATGCTGCGAGGCCCCAGGACCACACGTGGCAGGTGGGGGTTCAGCCTCGCCCGAGGCCTTACCCACAAAGCCGTGGTGGCCCTCCGGCGAGAGGACGTGAACGCCTGGGAGCGACGGGCTCCACTCGCCCCCAGACACATCAAAAGCATCACCAATCAGGGCTACAAGGTCCTAATCCAGCCTTCAAACCGACGGGCCATTCACGATCAGGTAAATACTTCTGAGTTTTCACACAGGTGGGAATGGACCAAGGTAAAAAAGGCTCCCGGAAGTCCTAAGGAAAGGGGACACTCTGGGTCAATGTGATAGCACATACACTTTGGCCATGTCAGTAATGATGAGAAAAAAGTATGTGTGTGATCAAGTAGTTAGATAGGTGTGTGCATATATGTGTAAAGGAAGGCATCTGTGAGTAATGCCCCTTTGGGGGTACTGCATATATAGCCATTGTGGTAAACGGTGTGGTAGGCTGGCCATATCTGACTTCCTCTGGCCTCCCTATTACTACAAGGTAGGGGTCAGACATGCCTTCACCATTAGGACCCTGGTCCCAGGGCAGAACTTGGTCCATTGACATAATGTAGTTTATAAAGATCATGCCCTGTATCCATGTTTGGTGAGTCTCATCTGGCTTCTGAAAAGTGTATGCCTGCCCAGCTAGGATCCCCCTATTGGTCCCACATGGAAACCAAAGCTTTAAGGAAGAAACAAGTCCAAAGGAGCCCATGAACCATGGCCTCTTCTAACCAGAGACTAGAAGAACTAGACAATGGTGCCTGGCTACCACTGAGGATATTTCTGATCAGGGACTCAATAGAAGGTTCTAGATCAACTGGGAGCAAATGTAGAATAAAAGACAAATTTCTAAAAATAGGCTTGACCTTTCTGGACTGATAGAGACTAGAAGAACCCCTGAGATCATCACGCAAGGCTACCTGTTGACCTTGGCACTGAAGCCCATCTGGAGGTCAGGTTCAGCCAGTTAAGAGATTGGCTTATAAATACCCATGAGAACAGTGCTCCCTTCCACAGGCAACTCTACGAAGCAAATGGTCAAGGCTAGCAAAGATGAGAGAGCAAGGCAGGGAACAGAAAAAAGGAAATAAGGAGAACACCGACACATTGTGAAGATTCTAACAAATGCCATGGAATCATCTGTATGAAAATTATTCCATGGAAAACCTAATTTGCCAGCCAAACCTTTACCTAAAACATACTAAGCTATTATTTGAAGGCTATATGGGAGTTAGAAGAGCCAGTGTGTGAAAAATGGAAGAGCATCTTAGCAAAGTAAATGTTCCCCCAAACTCTCAAAACCAAACTCACTCCCCTCAGTCGATTCCAACACATTAGTGACCCTGTGGGACAGAGTAGAATTGTCCCTTGTGGATTTCCAAGACTATAAATCTTTATGGGAGTAAAAAAAATCTCCCTTAGAGTGGCTGGTAGTTTCGAACTCCTGACCTTGTGGTTAGTAGCTGAATACATAACTGCTACACCAACAGGGTTCTGAAAATGTTTGCTAGCACCGATTTAATACAACTTGGTATTGGGAAGACTGTAGTAAACAGAACTCCATACTTGTCTCCAGGGAATGCTGCTGTTGGTAGAACTTATTCTTGGGGAGCTTTCCCTGCCGGCCACTGTGTGTAGCCCTCTAAAGTCCTCATTCTGTTATTTTTCTATTGAGGACTATGTAAGTACTCCATTGTATTGATGGAAATTCTAAAGTAAGTAAATGGACACTTTTCAAAGAAGCCAGACAGGTAGGACATATAAATCCCTTCCCTTACAATATGTCCCATCTGTTCGTACCTTCTAACTAGATTTATCTTAATTCTGCCCCCTTGGTGCTCTTTCCATTCTGTCCTGATCAAGCCACCCATTATTTGAAACCCGAAGATGGCCACCTCTTGTCTCCATGTATTGACTGCCCAATCTGAGCAAGTCCGCAAGCCTCAGGGTTCCCTCTGATAAAATGGGGGTCCCAACAGTACCAAGCGTGGGAGTCTAATACGAAGGAAATAAACTCATGCAGAGGCTTCAGCAACACTCATCGTAGTTTCAAAAGAAGCATCAAAGCGTATAGCTATTCCTGTTATTTATTACTCAATGAAATTCATCCTACCCTTGGATTCTAGGATGATGTTAATCTCCTTTTCCATCATGAAATTGTGCAGGATGTCTCCTTTCCTGCCTCCAAATTTGTGTACATGCGTTCAGTGCCTCTCACTGACATTACCACTTTGGACTTCCCGTCTCTGTCTGCCCAAATGCTATTCCGTGTTTTAGGTTAATCAGCATTTCCACATGTCCTTGACCATCCCACCCAGGGATGAATCTCGGTGTTCATTCAACTTCTACATCCCTTAGATTCTGGTGATCATTCAATTCTTTCTTGTTTTACTACAACGCTGGCTTCTTTACAATATTTTGGACAATATTGCACAATATTCGGTAAATTCTTGTACAGGAGGGATCTTGGTTTATTTTGTGCCTTTCTCGCCCCTGTCTGAGCTATCAGTATTTTGATTAAAGTTAACTTAATGGTTTAATCCAGGTGTCACCATGACCTGGAAACCTTAATGCTGTAACTCAGGTGTAGTCATGACCCACATGCAAAACCGCATGTTACAAAGCTAAATTAAACCCCAAAGTCTTACTGGAAAGATATCAAGGGTCAGTGTTTTTGCAAGTACAAACAATCTGAGTAACCTCAGTAACTCACTTTGATTCAGATGAAAACTAATTGGAAGTCTGCAATTAGACTTTCAAATGTAGAATTAGGGGATTTGGTAGAATCAGGGCTTTTAAAGAGTTTTGTATGCCAGACATTTGCTTTTTCATTCCTCCAGTAGTTCAAGGGGACCAGATTGAATATGAAAATGCTTCAAATTCCATTATATTTTGGATATTTTATTATATTCTGAAGCTTTCTCTTGTCATTATCCTCCCAACAAGCAGATTTCTCCATTTGTGTGAAGTATCATATCATATCTGAATGCAAAAAAGATAGCAAAGAAACTGAAGTCCCTCTCATTAATGTAACTGAACAGTGAATCGCTACTTAGCAACTGACCTTTCAGTGCATTGTTGGTACAAAATGTACATCTCACAAGCATAGCTTGGTTGTGATCAAGCTGCACTGATCTTAATTATGAGTTTGTGCTAAATTATATATATTTTCAAACCTCAAGGATGATAGATTCCCTTACCAGCAAGTAAAAACGTTAGAAGTGTTTGTTTTCATCTGTACAGAATGTCCATCCCCTCTGAAAGAAAACCGGAATCTAGACAATGAAGAGAATGACCTTTCATCAAACTTACGTTTCCAGGAATATGTCCAAGCTGGTGGTATCCTTCAGGAAGACATTTCTGAAGCATGTCTGATTTTGGGAGTTAAAAGACCCCCAGAGGAAAAATTAATACCCAGGAAGACCTATGCCTTCTTCTCTCACACAATAAAGGCACAAGAAGCCAATATGGGATTGTTGGACGAGGTTCTAAAACAGGTAATTTGTGATCAATATTGGTAAATTTTGGTGACATAATATACACATATATAATTGCTTTTGACTCATATATTTATTGCTTTTAAATTCTCCTGGAGCTTTAGTTTTCTCTCACCATTGAGGAAATATATCCCACTGTTCACATCCCTTGGAAAAGTGGTCAAGTCTTGCCAGAAGAGTTCTGTTGCTCCTGAGAGCACCCCAGCTATGCAAATCCAGAGTTTGCGATAAGAGGCGCCAAGCATATTCCAGTCCTTGTATATTCTTAGATGGAAAAAGTGATCAGTGCTTTCCCTCCACCAAAGGACAATCAATTTATAAAACTAATTTCTCTGTTAACAACCAATTAAAAATGTAGAGCCTGGCCCACTGCCACTGTATCAAGTCCCACTCATAGCGACCCTATGGGGTGGAGTAGAATGGCACCATTACATTTTTGAGACTCATGTGCATATATAATAGGTTTAGTATTAAGGTAGCAGATGGACACTGGGCCTCCACTCAAGTACTCCCTCAATGCAAGAATACTTTGTTCTATTAAACTGGCATTCCATGACGCTCACCTTCCTGACATGATTGCTGAAGACAAAGTGGGTGCATAAGCAAATATGGTGAAGAAAGCTGATGGTGCCCAGCTATCAAAAGATACAGCATCTGGGGTCTTGAAGGCTTGAAGATATACAAGTGGCCATCTAGCTGGGAAGCAACAAAGCCCACATGGAAAAAGCACACCAGCCTGTATGATCACGAGGTGTGGATGGGATCAGGTATCAGGCATCAAAGAACAAAAAATCATAGCATTGTGAATGAGAGGGGGTGAGGAGTAGAGACCCAAAGCCCATCTGTAGGCAACTGGACATCCCCTTACAGAAGGGTCGTGGGGAGGAGACAAGCCAGTCAGGGTGCAGTATGTAGCACCAATAAAACATACAACTTTCCTCTAGTTTTTTAATGCCCCCCCCAATCATGATCCCAATTCTATCTTACAAATCTGGCTAGACCAGAGGATGTACACTGGTACAGAGAAGAGCTGGAACACAGGGAATCCAGGACAGATAATGAGAGTAATTATCTCAGGACAAATAATGAGAGTAGCGATACCAGGAGGATAAGGGGAAGGTGGGGGAGAAAGGGGGAACCAATCATAATGATCTATAGATAACTTCCTCTCTGTGGGATGGACAATAGAAAAGTGGGTGAAGGGAGACATCGGACAGTGTAAGACATGAAGAAATAACTTATAAATTATCAAGGGTTGTGAGGGAGGGGAAAAATGAGCTGATATCAAGAGCTTAAATAGAGAGCGAAGGTTTTGAGAATGATGATGGCAACAAATGTGTGTGACACAATGGATGTATGTATGGATTGTAATAAAGAGTTGTATGAGCTCCCAATAAAATGATTTTTTTAAAAGACCAAAGAAAAAGACTCAGTCTTTATGAGAACACGCAGCCTCTTCTTTGTCTCACAGAGTTCTGCTGGTGGGTTGAACTACTAACCTTGTGGTTAGCAGCCCATGGCTTATTCCACTGCACAACCAAAGCTCAAAAAGAACTATAGGGACCATATCATCCACTACAGGGCCGAGAGGTAAAACACTTTAGCTGAGGTTGCACAGTTCAGTTGTACCAGAACTAGCCTGCAAACCATTTTTATATCAACATCCGTAATGGGGGAAAAAGTGCTGTCTAGGAAACAAATACTGTGGAAAGGCTAATAGCCGTTAAAGTTTAGATGATTCTTCCAATAAATGCCTGCAAGGTGGCTAGCTCTGTTCAGGGCATGGGAGGTGAGATGGTGAGGTATTTGTCCTCACTGAGTTTTCGTTCTACTGGAGACTGATGGTATAGTGCTACATCGTGTCCTTCACTTGTTGAGAGATGTAATGGAAATAATAGATACAGATGGAGAAAAGGCGTGCTGGGCTGTGGGCAAAGAGAGGATACTAGTTTGAATCAGGTGGCCAGAGACGGATGGCCTCCTGGAGAAGGTGGCCCTGGAGTGAAGATTTGAAGGAGGTGCAGGAACAAGCCCTATTCATCTGGTGAAAAGCATTTCAAGCAGAGAGAATAGTGGTCCAGAGGCCTGAGGAGCTTTTGAATGGAAGGTAGATGATGCTCTGAAAGGCTTACTTGGAAGCAGTTACAAAGACAAAAGTTTATTATTAGTGGCTTCCCGGGATGAGGAGGAGGAAACGGGGTGTTGTGACCGAAGGGTTTCTGGCAACTTGAAGAGACATAGCTGTGATGTATGCATAACACAGCCACATAGCTCTAGCGCCACTGAATTGTACACTTGAGAATGGTTAACGTGGCAAAGCTTATGTTATATGTGAATATTTTACCACAATGAAAAAGAAAAATCCATTCTGCCCACCCTGTGGAGAATAGCTGGGATTGAAGGAAGGGGTGACATGGTTAAGAAGATGCTTAGTCTCCTAGGTTAGTGTGCACTCTGGGCCACAGGTGGTAGCTTGCAGCAAGCTTGTGGGGATGGAGCGGTGGTGGGAGGGTAAGGGGGTGGGGGCGGGGATGTAGAAAGAAAAAGGGAGCCTTTAGCCTCCTTTAACTTCACAAGAAGAGTGGGAAAAAATCAAGGTCAACAGCCCAAGTGGGTTCTCATGCCTGGAGGTCAGACATGCCTCCATCATTCAACCTTTCTATGAGGTCTCCCTCACACCTCCTCTCTAGGACAGTAGATGTCTCTGCTGGCTTTGGTAATTCATTGCCATGGTGTCACAGAACTCATACATCATACTCCAGGTGATAGAATTGATTAGGGGTATCACAGATTCCATTTCAAGATCGAAAACCATTCAGGGGACAATGCTTTGACCAGGACAGCCTCTGCTCAGCATTGCCTCCAGGCACATCTTTCTCTTTGACCCTTGGTCTCTTAGCTTCTTGGCTTCTGTCCTACTTGGATCAGTATTACAAACTCTTTCTGCTCTGTTGATTGGCCAAGAGTACCCACTACACCACAAAGCTTTCGCCCAAAGGTGTTCAGTTCCACCTCTCTGGTTTAGCAACTCGAACTCCACCAAGTACACAGATATGCCTCACTCTCCCAGCAAGTCTCCTGCCCCAAGGCACTCAGCTTTCCGGTCTGGTTGGTTCAACTGTTGCTGTTTTCTGCCATCACTTCTTTCTATCTCTTCCTATCTTGGCAAGGTGTTACCGCGCTCTCTGTCTGGCTCCTGGGTCCAGGATGTTCTCAGTGCAGAAATCTGGGTTCCAAAGGTTGATCTCCATTCCTGGCCTTTTTTTCTTTTTCTTTTGGTGATTGGGAGATCCCCTTTCCACCTTTGGGATGGCTCATTTTAGGCCTGGCAGGTAGGCAAAATGGACCAATTCCCTTGTTAGGGTTCCGTACTTCTTACTTGCATGGTCTCACCCCCCACAAGGATGCCATGAAACTAACTGACTGGCATTATTAGAAAGTTATCCAGTCCCCTTGGTGGGCTACAGGCACCTCACGTTTACGTAGTGCTACCCAGTCATGTGGTGCAAGTTACAAAGCAATGGCTCCAAAAAGCATATTAAGTGATTCACCACACTGCAGTTGCCATTTGAGTCCCAAGTGTCTTGTAGAGATTGGGTCCTGTAGAATGCATCGATTGAATACATGTGGAATATGAGGAAAAGGGAAGAAGCGAGGCAGATTCCAGTGTTTGGGCCTGAGCAACTGGAAAGAAGGCATGCCCTCGATTGAGTTGGGAATGCAAGAAGAGCAGACATGCATAGGAAGGTCGAAAGTTGAGTTTGAGGCCTGTTGAGTTTGATTTGCCCATTTAGCCTTGGAGGGAAGATGCCGAGTGGACGACTGTTGGATATGAATCTGTATCTCAGCATGGTGGCTTGAGCTAGAGATTGGAGTTGTCAGAGACTAGATGATACGGATAGCCATGAGACGGAGTGAAATCGGAAAGTAGTGAGTGAATGCAGACTAGGTAGAGAGGACGTCCAAGGTCACAGTGTTAGTTTGAGGATGCTGGAGCACTCGAAACTAGACTAGAAGCTGAAAATCAAGGGAGGGGCAGGGGAGTGCACCATGCAGGAAAGCATATTTTGCATAGCAATATAGCATACATTCATATTAGTCTCAAGTACACCAGACCTGGACTGGAGTTAATTTGCTGTGTTTCTGAAGAACACATTCGAAAAGTAATTAATGAAAATCCTCTTATAAGGAGAATGTTTCACCTTAAGCAAATAAGCTCTTTAAAAGTATCTTAGAACCAGTTTTGTTAAGTGAACTTTTGTTCATTGCAAGAAAATTAATAACAACAGACCCGGCAGGATTGCTTTTTGGCAGCATTTTGTACCCAATTACTCTGAGTTCGAGGAATATTAAATAACATCGTTAAATTCGTGCCCAGAGTAAAAATGGTCTGGCCCTTGAGGAAATCAAATGACTTTAAAAACATTTAATCATTACAATGTTTCAATTGCTTTTAAACATGGATTTAATCAAGCTATCCTGCGAGAGGAGAGATGGGGGAAGTTTCCCAAGGAAACGGGAAGGGTGAGGTTGTACTGGAGGACGTGACAAGGAAGCTTGTGCTACTTTTTTGCATGCAGTTTACCCGAGAAAGAGGTAAATGGAGAGAAATCACTAGTGAGACAGAGCAAGAGAGGAAGAGCTCTGTGTAAAGACGAGAGGGAGAGAGGGTTGTTGCTGATTTAAAGGGAGATGAACCGTTGGCTTGTTTAGGCAGAGAGTGGGGGCCAGCGTCAAGGATGACAATACAGGAGAGAGGTAGTCATTGCTGGCGAGTGGTCTCAGAGGACATAAAAAAGTCTGAGGGCAGAAATTTCAAGGAAATCATACGTTTATTATTTCACTGACTGCACCGCTCAACCACAAACATTTTTTTTCTTGGTGTCTTGGTTTGGAGGCCTGCTCCTGGGGTTCCTCGAGGCGTGGATTCTGAAAATGGCATTGGCTAGACCTCATCAGCTCTGGTTTCTTCAATATGGTGTTCCACCGTATTTTCAGCTATCGAATTAGACTAATTTATTTATGTATCACCCGACTTTTAAGTTGGAGATGAATTCAGAGCCACAAATTCCAGGTGAAGACAAAATAGAGGAGGAATATTAGAAAAAGAATGAGCTATTAATGGACTTCTAGGGGAAGCTTGGTGGCTAGTTATCTGCCATTGAGCTGCCACTCCTCAGGTGAGTGGTTGGAGCCCAGCAGTCCCTTTAACTGTGGTTGGAGCCCAGCAGCCTTTAACTGATTGGAAATACAAGGGCAGGTCTTCCCTGTCATAGAGGGTCACTATGAGCGTCGGTCGATGAGATGGCAGTGGGTTCTTGTTGATTAGTACATACAGAGACCACACGTCGGATACTGCAAAGCCAGAACATAGCTTGAGAAGAACGAACAAAGAAAAACTAAAATGGAAAAGACACATTTATGGAAGGTGTGAGGGCAGTTTAAGGTGATGAAAATGTAAGCCTTCATAGTGATTTTCATAAATATTTTGAAGAACTAAATTTTTTCCCTATTCCAGTTATTCAAGAAACATTTCCAAACTGGAAGTCAATAGATAGTTTATGTTGTCTCACAGGCGAGGCTGATTCCAAGGTTCTTTATAAGAAAAATTCTAACTTTTATGAGTTTCTGTATACAGGTGGAGAAGTTATACCATCTTATGATGCAACTGGACCGTTCTAACTTTAGTGAGGGAGTTTGAACTCTGACAGACCAATTTTGAGTTTCAGAACATTTGAATCTCTATTTATTACATCAAACCCACTAACCCTGGTCTATTATGACTCATAGCGACCCTCTAGGAAAGGATGGGACCTCTCCTGTGGGTTGCCGAGGCTGTCAATCTTGATGGCAGCTGGAAATGCCATCTTTCTCTTGCAGAGCAGCTGCTGGACCTAAAGAGCTGACCTTGTGGTTAGCAGTCAAACACATAAACCACTACACCATCAAGGCTCTTTATTTATTACACGGTACTCTAATTTCTGACCCCTTTTAAAGATAACGAATTGGAACTGTCTGCTGTTCAGTTCCTCATAAAGGTGAAATGATCCTTGGGGAAAACTCCAAGTTCATGTAATTTGCACTGTTCAACTATATCTTTGGATCAAAGATTCAATATGAAGTATGACGACTTAAATATTTAGTACAGCATACACTACTTTATATAATAATGCCACGGTGCACTTCCTCTGTCTCAGGCAAGCTAACTCAAAACAGCCCCCCAGCTTTCCTCCCCCTCCCACCCAAACATAAACTCACTGTCACTGTGTTAGGCAGGGTTCACTAGAGAAACAAAACCAGGACACTTATGATTATGTATCTATGAAAGGATAGTTTATATATAGAGTAGGAATGCAACAGTTAACTAGTCCACACAGCAGCACAGAGAGCTCAGTTCAACTCACTTTCATGGAAGGGCTAATATTCTGAAGTTTCTTCAACTGCCAGCTACTGTTCCAAAGTACTGTTCCAAAGTCTGCCCTCAGGCAAGTCCACCTACAGGCAGCAGAGGGTAGGGTGGGGCAGCAAAAGCCAGTAGCATGGGAGCGTAGTGAAGCAGGCCCCCATGGGGTCTCAAGCTCTAGCGCTGCATGCACAGTGAAACAATCCACAAGTTGGCTGGGCACACAGGTAGTGCAGCACACACCTGATACAAAGGACTAGCTCAAGCAGCAGCACACTGGTCTGATCACCAGGGAGCAAAAGAGAGGTATATAGCATATGTTTTGATTCTCAAAAACTAGAGCTGATAGGGGAAAACTGATTCTATTTTTGGAATCAGCAGGTCAGATATATTCAGAAACGCGTCTTAACATTTGAGGCATCAAAATGTGTGTTGGCCATTGATGACAGCTGCCTATCAAAATGCATTTGGCATCTTGCTAGGAACTTTCATTTATCTTATTTGCCCAGTGATTCCTGTGATTGTCTGTGACCTGACATTTTCGACAGAGTTCATGGACTGCTCATAGTAACATGTTAGTATGAGAAGCTATAGCTTGTAGGAGGTAAAAAACGTGAAGCAGCTGCTTGCTCATTGCCTTATTTAGTGCTTCTATAACAGAAATGCCCCAAGTGGACATCTTTCAGGAACATTTATTTCCTCCCCGTCCTAGGAGACTAGAAGTCTGAACTCTGGGGGCTGGCTTTAGGGGAAGGCATCTTTCTGTTGGCTCTGGAGGAACACCCTAGTCTCTCTTAAGTTTTTGTTTCTAGATGGGTTTCATGTGGCTTGGCATCTCTCTGCCCTCATCTCAGAGCTGCTGCTTTTGCCTACTGTCCTATCTCAAAAGAGGTTCTCTCGAAGTACACCCTGCACCAACCCTGCCTCATTCACTTAACAAAGACAACCCAATCCCACAGGAGGTGAGAGCCACAGACAGAGATGAATAGTTACAACGCTTACTTTGGGGGGCATAATTCCAGCCATAGCAATCATCTGTGTTTTTACTCATTGACACCAAGCTTGGTGGGTCTGATTTGATGATACGTTGATCCTCTCTTCAGGAAATTCGTCTTATTGATTACGAGAAAATGGTGGATGATAAAGGAATACGGGTAGTGGCATTTGGACAGTGGGCCGGTGTGTCAGGTAGGTGTGCCAGGGCATTTACACTACCCACGTGCTACTTCTGCCTGTGGAGTAACCGTATGCTTTTGTTTTCCCGGGGTAGGGAGAGGGGACTGTTCATTCCTACCAAAAGAAATGGGCACAGTGCAGGATTAAGGGTGAGACATCATCAGGGGCATAGAGTCAGATAACTTATTGGAAATATATATATTTCAATAAACATTAAAAAGAAAGATGACTGTGGACAGGCCATGAGGGTTTAAACCTTGTTATCTTAGGTAGCCAGCTTGGAAGGCTAGAATCCCAAACCAACCACGCCCACTGCCATCGAGTGGATTCTGACTCATAGTGACCCCATAAGCCACAGTAGAACTGCTCCCTAAGGTTCCCATGGCTGTCAGTCTTTCCGGGAGCATATCTTTCCCTGGGGGAGGCCAAAGGGTTCAAACGTGTAACTCACTCTGCCACTAAGTCTCCCGGAAGCAGAGCTCCATTTTTTGATGAGACATTGAAGAACAACAGACAGGGAAAAGGATTAAAAAGTTAAAGAGGCACAAGGGTAGCAGTGAACAGTAGCGTAATCTAGAAAGAACCAGAGCTGGAGTATTGGAGGGGGTGGGGCATGGGAAACACCCAACTTGGCTAGGCTTTGTCTCAACCAACGAGCGCTTTTTTTTTTCCTGTGCAGAATCCCAGGTCCCACCCAAGACTTCCTAAATCAGAGTTTGCATTTGACAGGGTTCTGGGGTGAACTGTTTGCTCAGGAAAGTTTGAGCAGCCCAACTCTTGCTGCTCCCTTAGTCCTGTTGAGACGTCCCATCCGTCGTAAGTCGGAGACTTACCTGCATAGTCCTAGCCATGGTGCATTTTATCCTTTATAAATTATTCCTTTAAAAGTCGATTTAAGACAGAACTCTTGGCCAGGGTGGCAAGGCTCTGTTCCTCCAAAAAATAAGGGTGGGATGGATGCTGAAGTCTTACAACCTGAAGGGCATTCAATTGGAGACTTGATCTTGAAATCAAAAGACAAATCGCAAAGACTGAAATCGATATTGGAGATGCAAATTTGTGGTCTTGCAGAATTTGAAATTTAGGACTGGCTGAGATACGTTGGAGAGAACAGAAAAGTAGAGATGGAAGAAAATAGGGTGTGGGGCACGATCCTGAGGATGACCAATGCGTTAGGAAAGGGGAGAGGACGGGGACCCTACAGAAGTATAAGTCGAAGATGTTCAGATCAGGAATGTTGAGATGAGAGGGTTTTTCAAGAAAAAAAAGAAGAGTCTGCATTGCCAAATGCGTCTCACAAGTAAGATCTGAAAACTGCTCAGTTTAGCTATTTAAGCTACTAGATAGCTGGTGGGGGTGACCTAAGTTCAACAGTGACTTCGATTTTATTTCTACAGATGTGTGTTAGGCTTGGGAACAACTGGAGCATATGGAAATGTTGATAAGAATGGACCCATAGAAAGGGATTATGAAGGGAATCCTTTGAGTGGCCCTCATGGGCAGGCAGGAAGGGATGGAATATGGAACAGGGAAGGGTGAAGCTTAGAGGAAGGGGTGCAGCTGAGTAGGTACAACTGATGGGAGAATGAGGAGGGGAGGTACTTAATGAGGGGATTCAGGCCCCTTCCAGATCTGAGATGCTGTGGTCTGTGATTTCTCAAAGCACCACGCAGGCTGAACAATGGGCAGTTATGTCAACTAATGGCCTTTCTGTTGTCTGTCTATTCTGTCATAGGGATGATCAACATTTTACACGGAATGGGGGTAAGGCTCCTTGCTCTGGGACATCATACACCTTTTATGGTAAGAGGTTTATTTTGCTTATTATTATTATTATTATTATTATTATTATTCATACCATACTTTTAGAACCTGACAATGCCTCCGCTCGTAGACTAACTTGGACTCGTGTGTGCTTGCTTCCAGCACATTGGCATGGCTCACAACTACAGAAACAGCAGTCAGGCTGTGCAAGCGGTCCGAGATGCTGGCTACGAGATAGCTTTGGGTTTGATGCCAAAGTCGATAGGGCCCTTAACATTTGTGTTCACAGGGACTGGTAACGTATCGAAGGTAAATTCCACCTGCCTCATTCTCTGTAAAATAGCTGGAGACTCTGAAGCCATCCCAAAGGAGGTGGGCATTTTGGGGGGCATCTCAGAACTCCACTTTTCTCTGGTGGACATTCAATGTTTTTTCTTTTTTTTTTACATTTTATTGAGGGCCTTTACAGCTCGTGTAACCATCCATACATCAATTGTATCGAACACATTTGTACATATGTTGCCATCATTATTTTGTACACATTTATTTTCTATTGAGCCCTTGGTGTCAGCTCCTTTTTTTATTTTGCCCCTCTCCCTCATCCCCCAGCCTTGTAGCCCCTTGATAAATTATAAATTATTATTATTTTCTATTTGACACCAGCCACTGGTTCCCTTCCCCCATGGTTTCTATTGTTTATCACTTTTCTTACCTATGCAATTTTCTGATAGTGAAGGCGGTGATTCCAAGATTTTAAATTTGATTTTCGTTGGTTTTGAAGCTTGATTGATTTATTTATTTTTATGGTTTGAGAGGGATCGCTGTGTTTGAGTTGGCAAGAAGGTCTTTTTGGGGGCGATCTGTTTTACCTCCACCACCGAGATGTCCACAAACTTGCCAGGGCTCCCAGGATGAAACATTTCAAAGCTTCTAACTGAGAGTTTTGCCAATAAGATATTATGAAAAGTCTTCCCTTCCAGACTGGAACGAATCCTCTCTTTTGGGATAGTTTTGAGCATGCATCTGAGGTTCCCCCAGAGAAGCTTGTAAAAACGATCATTTGTCATAGAAAACAAAATATTTTGACACATAAACCCACTGCCATCGAATCAGCGACCCTATTTGTATTGCATTGTGGGATTGTCTACTAGCATTAATTTCTCCAGTGGGGCAAAATACATACATACATACATACATACATACATACATACATACATAAGTGAGAAAATAGAACCCACAGTCTTGTTGTGATTCTACGTAACGTATGCTAGAAGACTAATTTGTTCCTTTGAGTGAGTGCTCTTGAAACAGAAATGAAGGCTGGCCTGCAGACTGCGTGCGAGACTTTCGTCCATGCGGTTCCTGGTCTTGGTGGTTGGGCAAGCGGAGCATGTGATTGCAGGGGACTTAGCAGGGATCTTTGTAGGAGACCATATGGATTCCCCGCCTGTTGACTTTTCGATTTCTGCCGTTACATTATTTATAGGGAGCCCAAGAAATATTCAGCGAACTACCTTGTGAATATGTGGAGCCTCATGAATTGAAGGAAGTTTCCCAAACTGGAGGTATTGGAGGGCAGGAGGGGTGGGGAGGCGTGAGGGGATGCTCTCCTGTCATTAACAGTCTGCATGTTATAACATTTTATCACCGCAAAGCTTTATCATTTTGTCAGCCACTTTCCTGCTTTCTTTCCCTCCGCCAGACCTCAAGAAAGTGTACGGGACGGTGTTAAGTCGCCATCACCACCTTGTCAGGAAAACAGATGGTGTATATGATCCCGCAGAGTACGACAAACACCCTGATCGCTACACGAGTCGTTTTAACACTGAGGTGAGTGAGCATCATGCTCGGCTGCTGACTTGGTGGCGTCTGTTAGGATATTCTCCAGGAAAGAAGTTAAAAGTGAACCCATTATTCATTAACTTCCCACACTGACTTGTGCTGAGCCTTGTGGGGATTGCCCATAGGATTCGTTGGCTTTTCTTGGCCAAGAGACCTTTCCTTTATGGTTTGGGACATTGCTATCCATTTGCCATCTGCTCTGCGGTCTTGTTTTCTGCTTCGGTTCTGCATGTGCTTCGTAACTTCCAAACCATTTTTCTCTGTGGTTGTTTGTTTTTCCATATTGACCCTGGATGGGCTGGCCATACTGGCAAAGCACAATGTCAATAAAATTTTATCTGAAAATAGGCTACCTACCAATAGAAACCTGACCTCGGCCAGCTGCTTGAACTCCACACCACTGGTTCTAGGGGTCCAGGGTGAAGTGGCGGGGCTGTCTCAAAGCAGACACCTGCCCGAAGGAAGGCAAAGCTGCATAGTAGATGTTCAAGTCCCTCTGCTGGGGACACGCGGACATCGTCTTCCGTGCAGCCCAGTCTGTTGTTGGGTTCTTAGCCATTGGGCCTGCATCAGCCCTTTCCCAACCAGACAGCCAAGTAGGACTCAGAAACAGAAATGCATGCATTTACCGTGAAAAGGAATGCTGTACATAGTTTTAAATATGTGTGACCACAGAGCATGTGGGGATTCCGTTAGGAAATGTAGCAGGGGATGCATGTTCTGGAGGAGACGCTGATCTGTAGCTGGAGATCCTTTGAGACGCATCGGCGATGAAACTAGTATAACGAAAATATTTTGGATCCAGTAAATCTCCACCCCATCTCTTTTCCCCAGTCACAGAACTATTTATGGGTGATTGGATGCATTCTAAAACGTACTAATGCCCTAGTTACCTTGTATGCATGTCTGTAGCATTTGTCTCTGTGGATCTTACAGATGTTATCTGATTTAATCCTCACAGCCTCCCTTTGAGGAATGGGGTCCGTATTATCCCCATCGGGCAGGTAAGGAAAACAGAGCTCAGAGGTAGCTTGATGTAGACCATGCCCTACTGTGGTTGACCTAGACAGACTGCTGGGTCACGCGACGCTCCTTTCCTTTTCCTTGGTGGTACAGTTAAGAGATCCATATTCAGACACGTCTCTGTCCTGGGGAAGCTTCACCAAGATCTGGGTGGTAATCTAGCATATTGGTTTTGAAAGATGGCTTCTGACCCGGGTTCAATTTGGAACTACTTTCCAGGTTGCCCCTTATACAACTTGCTTGATTAATGGAATCTACTGGGAGCAAAACTCCCCTCGTCTGCTAACGCCGAAAGATGCGCAGACTCTCCTGGCTCCTGTCAAGTCCTCAGATGTTGCCATTGAAGGCTGCCCCTCCCTGCCACACAAGTAAGGACTTCCAATCTTCAACGATGGCAGTTTCTACCTGCAGTGCCTTTAAAAAAAATCATTCTATTGCAGTGGGGTGGGTGGGTGTGTGTCTTACAGGTCTTATCACAATCCATACATCCATCCATTGTGTCAAGAACATTTGTGATATGTTGCCATTATCTTTTTCAAAACATTTTCTTCCTACTTGAGCCCTTGGTATCCGCTCCTCATTGCCCCCCTCCCCCTCCCCCTCCTGCCCTTATAAACCCTTGATAAATTATAAATTATTATTTTCATACTTACACGGTCTACTATCTCCATTCACCCATGTTTCTGTTGTTTATCACCCTGGGTTGTTGGTGTGGGGAGGGAGGTATACATTGATCATTGTGATCACTTCCCCCTTTCTCCACCCACCTTCCCCTACGCTCATGGTATTGCTACTCCTGTTATTGTTCCCGAGGGGGTTATCTGTCCTGGATTCCATGGGTTGAGCACTCTTATCCGTACCAGTGTACATGCTCTGCATTAGCCAGATTTGTAAGGTAGAGCTGGGGTCATGATTGGTGGTGGGGGGTGGTGGGGAGCATTAAAGACCTAGAGGAATGCTGTGCTTTGTCGATGTGCAGCACCCATTCTGAGGGACCCAGTGTCATGCTCCCCACCCCCACCCCAGATCGTGTTTGTTCACGACTGGCTGTCCTTTTCTTATGGGACCTCTCGGCAGCACTGACACAGTGAACCCTGCCTCCTTCTTGAAAGTCTCTTCTCTTGACTTCTGTGATTCTACATGTCGCACACATGCCACCTTCTGCAACATCATCTCCTTCAGAGAGACCTTTCATTGCTTCTCCAGCTCCACCTGCCTCTCTGCCCTATTGCTTTGTTTCATTAACTTCCTCCCACACCTGAAAGTCTTCATCACTGCGTTCTCTCCCTCCTACTAGAACGAAGTTCTCTTAAGTTCAGGGCTTCCTTTTATTTGGGTTACAGGCACCTATTGTCTGATATAAAATAGAGAAGCAAATATTTATTGAGTGTTGAATTAATTAACCAATCAATATTTGTGGACTGCCTGGTCTATAGGCCAACTCTAAGATAGCACCCCCCTCCCCCTTCACCAAACCAAATCCCTCAAACTCACTGCCATCCAGTCGATGCCGACTCATGGTGACCCTATGGGTGAAGGTAGAACTGCCCTTGAGTTTCTGGGACTGTAACTGTTTATGGGAGTAGGAAGCCCTTTCTCCCGAGGTGTGGCCGGTGGTTTTAAACTGCTGAACTTTGGGCTGATCGCAGCCCAATGTGTAAGCACTATTCCACCAGGGCCCTTTTGCTAAGCTAAAAGACTGGGAAAAGTAAAACACATGGTTTCTGCCTTCAGGATGTAGTGAGGGAAAAGACATTCACACAGAACATAAACCAAAGCTATGAGGCAGCCTAAAAATGCAAAGGTGGTGTTATAGAACACACCGTCTCAGAGAGGTCAGAAGACAGTGGGAACATGGGGTCCAGTAAACCCACGAAAGATTTAGATAGGTGGAGAGCAAGAAAAGGAGAAATTCAGGTGGTGGGAAGGGTGCTTGGTAGAGTGTAGGGTTACAAACGCACCATTTAAGACACAGTAAGTCGGACAATTTGGCTATAGTATAGGGTGTGTGTAGACCCTTTAGAATCAAGTTGTTCTGTTCTCCCGGAGCAGCTGGTGGGTTCAAACCACCGACCTTTTGGCTTCCCGGGTTTGTAAAGGCAAATGGTAATTGGAGACTGAGCAAGAAACTTGTGATCAGCCTCCAATGGTTTTAGAATGAAGGGCTGATCATTTTATTCATAATTCTAGAGATTTTAGTGTCCTGATGTGACATTTTATAGTAATAAAAACAAGGTGGAGGTAGAGTAATCAAACCTATGTAAGTTATTTAGAGATAGAAAACATGGTTAATTATAACTAGCCTGTTCCCATGATTTCCCTAGTGAAGTGATTTTCCATTTTTGCTTATTTATTTTTGCTAGAGGAGAATAAAACTTATATCATTACAACTTTGTATCTCAGAGGAATACAATGCTTTGAACAATGGACTGTTAGGGAAAAGAAGCTAAGGGCCAGGAAAATATTTAGTTTCCATATTGAAAAGTCCCATTTTTATTCTGCTGTAGACTTTTGAAAACTGTAGAATCTCATGCTCTTGGCTAAGTATTGATTTTATTTTCAGATTTGTGGCAATATGTGACATCTCGGCAGACACAGGAGGATCTATAGAATTTATGACTGAATGCACAACCATAGATCACCCCTTTTGCATGTATGATGCAGACCAACATATTACTCATGACAGGTGAGTTAACAGGCTGAAGTTGTTAGCTGGAGACGCATAATAACGTATCATTTACTTACCATGATATACTCATAGAATTACTATATATTTCACATCTTACAAAGGCAGTGGAAATTTAGGAAGTGGTGCTCAAATATGTTTTAAAAAATCTGATAGCAAAACCACATGCATATTCAAATATTTACATACCCATGCCTTGTTGTGGTTGGGTGCCTTTGAATTGATTCCAACTCATAATGACCCTCTGTACAAGAGAACAAACGCTAACCGGTGCCACCTCTTCCTCACAATTGCCACTTTGTCAATCCACCTCACCAAGGGCCTTCCTCTTTTTTGTTGCTGCTCAACTCTAGCATGCTGTCCTTTCCCAGAGACCGATCTCTCCTGATACACGTTCAAAGTATGAGAGATGAAGCTCCCTATACTTGCGCTGCAGGAACATTCTCTCTCTACTTTTTCCAAGACAGATTCGTTTGTTCTTTTGGCAGTCCATGGTACTTTCAATACTCTTCATCAGCACCACAATCAAATGCATTGATTCTTGGTCTTCCTTATTCGATTTTCAATGTTCACATGCAGGTGAAGTGATTGAAAATATGGCTCGGGTCAGGCTTAGCATAGTCCTCAAAGCAACATGCTTGTTTCATCGCACTTTAAAGAAGGCTTGTGAAGCAGATTTCCTCAGTGCAATGCCATTGTTTGATTCTTGGCTGTTGCTTCCATGACCACTGACTATAGATCCAAGCAAGACAAAATCCTTCGCATCGCCAATCTTTTCTCCATTTGTCATGATGTTACCTGTTGGTGCAGTTGTGAGAATGTTGGTCTTCGTGCCATTGAGTAGTATGCCAGGCTGCCATATTTGATCTTCATCAGCAAGTGCTTCAATTCCTCCTCACTTTCAGCAAGCAAGGGTCATCTACAGATGGCAGGTTGTTAGTAAGCCTTCTTCCAGTCCTGATGCAACATTCTTCTTCATATAAACCATCCTCTCTGGTAATTTGTTTAGCATAGAGAATAAGAATGGTGAGAGTACACAACCCCAGATTTTAAAACATGCAGTATTCTCCTCTTCTGTTCTCACAGCTGCCCCTTGTTGTACAAGAGGCATGTACAAGTTCTGCATGAGTAAAATGAAGTGTTCTGGAATTTCTGTTCTTCTCAAAGCTATCCATAGTGTGTTATGGTCCACACTGTCAAAATTACTTTTATAGTCAGTAAAGTACAAGTAACTATCTTTCTGATATTCTCTATTTTTCACCAAGTCATCTGACATCAGCAATGATATCTCTATTCCCATGTCCTCTTCGGTACCTAGCTAGAATCTCTGGCAGCCCCCCTGTCAATGTATTGCTAGCAGCTGTTGGATGATCTTCAGCAAAATCTTACTTGCGTGTGATGTTAATGATATTGCATCATTTGCGTTTCCAGTCCGTTGCCAAGTCGGAGTCTTCCAGACTTCCCGGCAGAGATGAGTGAGTGCTTCCAGTGCTTTATCAGCTGGTGAACCATTTCAGTTGGTATCCTGTCACTTCCTGGAGCCTTGTTGTTGGCGAACGCCTTCAGTGCAGCTTGGACTTACTCTCTCCTTACAGTTGGTTCTTGCTCATATGCTATCTCTTGAAATGGTTAACTGTTGACTGGTCCTTTTTGGTACAGTGACTGTGTATTCTTTGCAGCTTCTTTTGATGCTTCCTGCATCGTTCGATATTTTGCCCATAGAAATCTTTCAAGATTGCAACTCAGAGCTTGAATTTTTTTTTTTTTTTTAGTTCTTTTAGGTTAAGATATGCTGAGTGTTTTCTTCCATTTTTTGGTTTTCTATCCCTACATCTTTGTCCATTTTATTATAATACTTAGCTTGGTCTTCTTGAGCTGCCTTTTGAAATTTTCTGTTCAGCGCTTTGACTTCATCATTCCTTCCTTGGCTACTCTAGGGTGAACAGCAACTTCCAGAGTTTCTTCTGACAGACATTTGGATCTTTTCTTTTTTCCTGTCTCTTTAATGATCGCGTGCTTTCTTCATGTGCGACGTTCCTGACGTCATCTCCAGGTCCTCGGGTCTTCGGTCATTAGCGTTACATGCCTCAGCTCGGTTCTTGAGATGCTCTCAAAGTTCCGGTGGGATAGACTCAAGGTCATATTTTGGTTCTCGTGCACTTGTTTTAATTTTCTTCACCTGCAACTGGAACCTGCCTATGAAAAACAAATGGTCAGTTCCACAGTTGGCCCTGGTCTGGTTTTAGCTGCTGATATTAAGCTTCTCCATTGCCTCTTCTCACAGCTGCAGTCAGTTTGATTTCTGTGTATTCCATATGTATTGTTGCCTTTTGTGTTTTTGAAAAAAGGTATTTGCTATGAACAAGTCATTGGCTTTGAAAAATTCAATCATGTGATCTCCAGCTTAATTTCTATTACCAAGTCCATATTTTCCAACTACTCTTCCTACCTCTTTGTTTACATTTTTTTTGCATCCCAATCACCAGTCATTTCAATGCATCTTGGTGGCATATTTGATCAATTTCAGACTGAAGGCATTGGTGGAATTCTCCAATTTTTTCATCCCGAGTTTTAGTGGTGGGTGCAGACACTTGCATACTAGTTGTAATGACTAGATTCCCCTGTATGTGCTTAGATAGTATCCTGTCTCTGTAAGCACCGTGCTGTCAGATGCTGTGGTGGTTGGATGCCATTGAGTCAGCGCCAACTCACAGCAACCCTGTGCACAATGGAACGAACCTGCCCAGCCCTGCACCCCCTGGAGCCCATGGTTGCAGCCACTGGGTCAGTCCGTCTTGCTGAGGGACTTCCGCTTTTTCACTGTCCCTCCACTTTACCTCGCATGATGTCCTTCCACAGCAACTGGTCTCTCCTCGCATGTCCGAAGGACTTGAGACAAAGTCTCCTACCCTTGCCTCGAAGGTAGATCTTGAAGGTCCTTTTTGAGGTACGCATGTAGTATGTTTCAATGGGAAGATGGTTTGATGAATGAATGAGTTTTGATTTTAAAGTTTTGTCTCTTTTCCTCACATGCTTTGTACAGAATTCCAAATGTGAATGAGACAAAGATCGTGGAATCGACACAGAGTAAAGTTAGAGTTCAGAAAGATAATTTTGCAAATCTGAATACAGTTTATTGCTTCTCCTAGTGTGGAAGGCTCTGGGATTCTGATGTGTTCAATTGACAATTTGCCTGCACAGCTTCCCATCGAAGCTACTGAGTGTTTTGGAGACATGCTTTACCCTTACGTTGAAGAAATGGTAAGCAAGACGGTGGCATCACCACAACTCTGTCTTTAAGTTGAGGAGGGGGTAATCTCCTGAGCATTCTGGTCTAATGCATCTCAGAAATCTGTTGTAAATAAAATGCCAACGCTTCGCTAAGGTACTTATTCTTTGACGCTTTTATTGTTTAACTTCTGTTTATTGTCTCCCAGGAATGTGAACCTCATCGCCGACTCTGTTTAATTGCAGTTACGTTCCTCTCATATTTTATGAAGAATATTCTTGACTAGCAGGGTGGGATTTTTTTTAAAAATTTCCCCTGCTGCCTGGGTCAACTCATATTGGGACATTCTTACTGTGCTGTGATGAGCAGATTTGAAAAATCAGAAATCTCGAAAATTATAGTGGATTGTAGCCACTAACACTTAGCTGAATAATGGTTTATGTTGAGATCAGATTTTTTTTAACCATTTTATTAGAGGCTCATACAACTCTTATCGCAATCCATACATACATCAATTGTGTAAAGCGCATTTGTACATTCATTGCCCTCATCATTCTCAAAACATTTCCTCTCCACTTAAGCCCCTGACATTAGGTCCTCATTTTTCCCCTCCCTACCCGCTCCTACCTCCCTCATGAGCCCTTCATAATTTATAAATTGTTATTTTGTCATATCTTGCCCTGTCCAACGTCTCCCTTCACCCCCTTTTCGGTTGTCCATCCCCCAGGCAGGAGGTCACTTATAGTTCCTTGTAATTGGTTCCCTCTTTCCTACCCATCTTCCCTTTACCCTCCCAGTATCGCCACTCACACCACTGGTCCTGTAGGGTTCATCCGCCCTGGTTTCCCTGTATTTTCAGATCCTATCTGTACCAGTGTACATCCTCTGGTCTAGCCAGACTTTCAAGGTCGAATTTGAGTCATGGTAGTGGGAGCTGGGAGGATCAGATATTTTTTATGTCAGAAGTTGACTTATGAATTATTATGTTATTGCATTCCCCTTTCTTTACACACACTTTTTATTTCAATATTTCCCTGTGTTCATAGCCTACTCTGTTTTTATTGTTAGTTGTTGTCTCCTGTGGCAATGATTCTAAAGATTTAAACCATGGGCCCAGTCCTCTTCATTTGTCACTTCCCTCAGGAGCTGCTGCACACACTGGAATGCTTAGTGAGGAATAGTGGGCCGTGAAAATTCCAATCTGTGACCTTCTTCTCTTTCAAATACTATCCCAGCTTGCCTTTTTTTTTTTTAATCCCAGACGATGTCAACAGGATTTAGAATATGTATGCAGTAAGAATGGTTGTGATTGAGCACACTGTTATATTGGGCCTACTGTGTGTCAGGCAGTGTTCAAAATAATGTTCAACCACAACAGTTCTTGCCAGAATATGCAGGATGTCTACCGCTGGTGCTGAGGAACTGGTGTTAGGCGAGCAGGAGAGTCCAAATCTTGGGTTTTACCGGAGACGGCAACTTGCTCCATGGCCGTGAGCAATTCTGAGATTTGGGGATTTTACCTGTAAAACGCAGAGGGTAGTACTCATCGTCATTTTCTAACATTCTGTAGATCTCAGTGTCAGAATGTCCAAAAGGTATCTATGTTTTTTAAAATAATAACACATGTAATCCAGATGGCTACTGTTTTCCATGCTCTTCCGTCATTTCCTGCGGCCTGAACAACATCCTTTGAGCACTTTTCTTGGTTTTCCTGTATCTGGAAATGTCTGTAGCTGACCGTCATACTTGCCGTATGTATTTCGCTGCATCGAGTGCTGTAGGTTGACAGGTTTTCCTCTTTCAGGCCTCTATCTCCCAGTCTCCGTGGCGTCTTAAGTGAAGTCTGTGAATCAGCCACAATCTTTCTTCTCTTTCTGGGATTCCAACTACTTGCATATTAGGCATTTTGATAGTTCTCACAAGTCATTTTTCCCCCTCTCTTTAGGAATAGATACTTTCTATTGAAGTGTTTGATCTCACAGATTCTTCTCTCTGTGTTCTTTTGGCAGTTCACAGTAGAGTCAGTATTGTTCAACACGACCACAATTTGAACACATCCACTCTTCTGTTTTCCTTTTTCTTTGTCTCCCTTTTCTAAGCGTATTAGGCAGTTGGAAAAACATGATGGTTTGGGTCAGGAGCAACCTAGTCATCCAAGTTACATTTTTGCTTCCTTCAGGATTGTGATGCAGGGCCTCGTTGTTTTGATAGACTAGGAACAGACCTTATGTCTTGTCCTCGTTTACTCATTAGGAATTGTCTTAAGGTATCGAGTGTCGCTATCATTGAAATTCCACAGAGGGGTCGTGTAAACAAACCAGTTATTTTCTCACAGTTTGGTTCCCTAGAAGTCCAAATTCAGGGTGCTGGCTTTAGGGGATGGCTTCCTCCTTCTGTGTAGACTCTAAAGAAACATCCTGTCTCTTCACTTCTGCTCTCGACTCCTTAGAAAGCTTCACGTGTCTTGGCCTTTATCTTAACTCCTGGGCTGGGATGAAATTTCATAATATGACTCTTGGCCCAAGTCTTTGTAGCTTCCATCAAATGACTGGGTGGGGCGATGCAAGCAGGGTTTGCGTAATGGTACAAGAGAGAGGTGGTCCGCTGTCCGGACTGTCGAGGGGAAAGAAGCCCAGAAGCTGTGGGAAGAGCCCAGGCAAGACCTCCGTCGGAAGTGCAGAGGCCCTGAGAGCAGCTGCACCAGGAGCGTGTCCCGGACACTCAGAGGAGCAGCACTGAGATGTGACCACCTTCTTCTTATCTGGCCCCAAACGATGGAAGTGACACGGCCCATGGAGCTAAAGGCCAAGGGACCACGTGGCTGTGAGCCAAGAGGAGGCCAATGACTGAATCCTTATTGTTTGCCGATCCTGACTTGCGGTGACCTATTGCCTTTCCTAATAACCCCAAACCAAACTTGCTGGCATCGGGTCAATTCCGATTCACCTTATAGTGAATAATGTTCACTATATATAGGGTAGAACTGCCCCTGGGTTTCTGGCACTGGTACTTTGTGTGGGAGTAGCCAGCATCATCTTTCACCCTAATAAACTCCCTTCGTTGTGAGTGTTGTTTGCGAGTTCTGTGTAGCCATTGCAACCATTTAGGGGTCCCAGCACAGATACAGAGCAGCATAGGAGGACTGGTCCCTGTCAGGTAAAGAAGGAGGGGGCACCAGGCATGCGTGGACCCTGCCTTGTGGCACTGAGGAAGCCAGAGGAGGTCAGATATGGCGCCCCATTACTGGTTTCCTGCATCCCCTTCTCAGCTTACTTTCCTGTTTTGTCAGTTTTAGATCTTAAGGGAGATTGAAAACGCACCCCACACTCATCCTGCCTCATTATCTTAACACAGATAACACATTCCCAAATACAATCATAAACACATGCATAGGAATTAGGATCGACAGCACATATTTGAGGGTGGATGGACAGAATTCCATCTGTAACAGGGAGGATTATTCTTAACATCTTCATGTTGGATGAGATATGCTCATCTACAACGGAATAGTGTTTTTACCTTCATAAAACCATTTGAAAGAATTTTGGGGAATGTGACAAGGTTACAGGGAAAAACTGAGTTGCGAGAGAGATTTTCTTTTTTGGGGGGGTGGGGGGTGGGGGTGCTCAGTCCCGAGACAGGCAGTGTTGCTTAAGTACCTGGGGATTTCACCTCTTTTCAGAAATGGTTCATTTTTGTTGTTGTTGACGACAGTATAATGTTTTTTCAGGCAATAGTGGTGGGGACTGATCACAATGCTCTCTTAAGAGTGTTTTTAAGCACTGGGTATCTGTAAAACAATTGATGACTGTCTCTATTTCTCTATTTAAGTCTTGATATACGGGTACTTGTCCACCACCGACAAGTTCAGTATATGGCTTTTACTTTTTTCCTGGTAACTGGATGGAAATGATAGGTAAAAGTATATATTCTGTCTTTTTTTTTTCCTTAATAACTTTTTTTTTTCTTAACCTGTGAGTTTCAAACTAATGTCACAGCATTTCAGGACATGAGCTCTCTCACTGCCACCAATGTAGCAGGTTATTTCAGGGGGGATTCAGTAAACATTTACTGAGTGTCTCGTGACAAAATGCAGATAAGAATGAAGAGAAGACCCCCACAGAGAAGTGTGGGATCCAGGAAGGGCATGAGAGAAGTGGGTGATGCCCCCAAAGGTGGCCATGGCACGCACCAGAAATGTCCCGCTTTAGTTAGGGAAGGAGGATTCCCGCCTTGCTGGTAAGAGCTGGGAGGGTTTTTTGAACGAAGTGAAAGAATTGCCTTGCGATAGCTGTGGAGGATGGGCTCATTTGTGTGGTTATTTAAAAGACCATCTGTGGTATTTTGAACAGCATGACAAATGTGGGGGCGGACCCAAGGCAGAATTTCTTGTTATATCTAGTTGAGTGATGCTAAGTTTGTTGGGACCATGTCACAAAATGGTCTTAATGGCTTGATTAATTAATTTGGAGAACTGTGATTAGCCCTCAAAGGTGTCATATACAAGACAGACCATATGTTAGTTTTTCTGGTGGTCGAGTTCTAGTGAGAGCAGCCGGCAGGAAGCTGTAATTGAGCAGCCTTTTGTTGTTTTCGCTGTTTGCCTTCCTGTAGCTGGACTCGGGGCAATAGTTCAATGTCCTAGGGAAAGATTAATTTGATTCAAACTGCTTCAACACCCTATATGTCTAGTTGTTATATGTATCCAATTATTGACTATTTACCATCTTTTCACATGGCAGTCACAGGGCAAGATGCCCAGTGTAATACGTACCTACAAGCTGTTTGGGGGGCAGTTTGGGGCAAGGCTTGACTGAAGAGGTAGTTCTTTAGCTGTGTCTTCGTAGGATAAGGAAGAGTTCTTTGGGTGATCAACCAGGTAGAGGCAATTTCATATGAGGCACCCTGATGGGATATAGGTGCATGGGAAAGAATGGCCCAGGGAGGGGTCTCCAGGTTCTTAAAGATACTGAAGTATTGGGCAGGAGACTGAAGGGACAGTTGAGATTAGAGCAGCAAATCCAGGTTGTAG